TCCGAGAATATTTGTGTCGTGAAACACGACGGACGAAGGTTAGATGGGTACTCGATTACTTCCCGCGATCGATGTGTTCGCGACGACGACGTTCGTGGATCTCAGGGCGATACGGAGCTCGAACAAATATTTTAATCAATACACCCTCCCTGATTTTCTTCTTTGCATCTCCAACAATAGCGATACCTTTTGTAAAACGCGATAGTGAATGATGACTGTTATGATACATGTACGTGCGCGAGGTAATAGTTGCATCTTCGAGGGTCTCGTGAAGATTATTTGCGGTGATGTTTATACAAACTCAAATAGCTCAATAGCTAGTGTACATTTTCCCTCCAAAATATAATCATGATCTTTATGATAAAATTACATCTGTTTCGTCTGCTTTTCGCTCGTGACGTCTAAGCTTCGGCATTATTCATGGCGCAGTTTCGCTTCGATATTAATAAAGAGATATCTCGACTTTTCATAGCCTGTTTTACATGTTTTATATTGTAAATACAGAAAATTGCGCGCAGTAATCGTGTTCGCTAAGAAAGAAATGGACAACCTCCATCCCTCTTTCCACACCACTTTAATTTAAAATATCAATATTGAACTTGGATTAAGCGGACAGAGATCAAAGGCTGTTAAAAAAACATATCGCGATCTCAATTGCCTGAATCGAATAAAAAAAAAAGAGGACGAAAAGTTTATTATGAGGAACAAAAGTTGAATTAAATTGCAACGCGATACTGGAAATATACCGGATCTATTCCGTATTTTGCGAATAAAATTTAAATTCTCGCTGGAGAGGTGGGATAAGTAATGGTTGCGTAAAAGAGCAAGGAATGCGGATTAACGGTATGTGTTACTGTTTCGAGTAAAAAGTAAATTTATCAATCGCAGATCGAAGGAAACGCGATAGTGAATTATCTAAAGACTCTTGAAATCGTTATTGATGAAGCGATTGATATCTCGAAAATACAAGCACTCTCAATTATTGGACATTATTGGAGGATAATCGCGATATTGAAAAAACGGAGAATGCTCGATTGGACGAATCGGATTAGCGAAGAATAGAGCTCTCTCTCTCTCTCT